TGTGGCAATGAATGCATAAACTAGAAAGAATACGTAAAATACATAATCTAAAGTTCTATAATAAGAAAAAAAGAAGAGCAAATTAAATTCACAGGAAGAAGTAGGGAAAAATAGAGCAATAAATTTTTCTAACTTCTTTATATAAGCTATTTAGGAACATATTCTTAAGTTTTATTTCCATTCATGGGCTTTTCATTTACTTTAAAATCTGCATAAGGAAAACCAGGCTTTATTATCATTTTACTGAAACAGAAAATCATTTTAAACAAACAGCTTTGGAAAATTAAGTGATTTTTCCAATGTTACAGCTACTTTAACCAGTTCTGGCAGTAAATATTGGGTCATATAAGTTCATCTCTTTAGTTGGGTATATTAACCTAATTGTTAACCAATTGTGTGAGTGTGTGTGAGAGAGAGAGAGAGATAAAGGGAGAGGGGGAGAGAGAGAGAGAACCATCAAATTGCTACAGGAACGCATGGGGAAAATATTGCTAGACACTGACCTCGGCAGACTTCTGGAATAAGACCCCAGAAGCACAGGCAACAAAACAAACAAACAAAAAGAAAGACAAATGGGATTACATCAAGCTAAGAAGCTTCTACACAACAAAGGAAACAGTTAACAAAGGGGCAATCAACAGAAGGGAGAAAATATTTGCAAACTGTGCAACTTATAAGGATTAATATCCAGAATATATAAGCAACTCAAGAAACTCAACAGCAAAACAATCCAGTTAAGAAACAGGAAACTACATGAATACCATTCTCAAAAGAAGAAGTACAAATGGCCAACAAATATATGGAAAAATGCTATTACTAGCCATAAGGGTAATGTAAATTAATCCACAATGATGTATCTCCTCACCCCAGTCAGAACGGCTTTCATCCAAAAGGCAGCAACCAATAGTAATAAAGGTGTAGAGAAAGGGGAACTCTGATAGACTGTTGGTGGGGAGGTAAATTAATGCAGCCACTGTCAAAAACAGCATGGAGACTATTTAAAAGTATAGAAATAGACTTTGCCATATAATCCAGGAATCCCCCTGCTGGATTTATACCCAAAAGACATGAACACATTGTGTTAAAGAAAAAACTGCTCCACCATGTTTATAGCAACACTATTCACAATAACCACAGTGTAGAATCAACAGTTGCCCATTATAATATCAATGGATAAAGAGAATGCATTACATACAACAGAATTTAATTCAGCTATTAAAAAATGAAATTCTGGGGATGGTGCTGTGGCAAAGCAGGTTAATGCCCTGGCCTAAAGCATCGGCATCCCATATGGGTACCGGTTGTAGTAGCGCCTGCTGCACTTCCAATCCAGCTCTCTGTTATGGCCTGGGAAAGCAGTAGAAGATGGCTCAGGTCCTTGGGCAACTACACCCGTGTTGGAGACCTGGAAGAAGCTCCTGGCTCCTGGCTTCAGATCAGCACAGCTTCGGCCATTGTGGCCATCTGGGGAGTAAACCATTGGACGTCCTCTCTCTCTCTCTCCCTCTCCCTCTCTCTCTCTCTCTCTGCCTCTCTCTCTCTCTCTCTCTCTCTCTCTCTCTCTGCCTCTCCTCTCTCTGTGTAACTCCAACTTTCAAATAAATAAATAAATCTTTTTAAAAAATGAAATTCTACTATTTGCAGCAAAATGGCTGGAACTGGGGGACATGTTAGGTGAAATAAACTAACACACAAAAGCAAGTACTGCATGTACCTCACTTAGATGTGGGGGCTAAATTTAAAAAAATAAATAAATGCCTGTGTGTTCTGTTGTGTTTTGTTGCAAATAGTATTTTGTTAAACTTTGTTCGAAATCATTCTCAAACAAATTGGTAGGAATTATATACTCCTATAGTTTTAACAATTTTGTGATCTCAAATTTATCTGAGCCAATTTGAACATTTTTGTTTGCTTATAACTTTTGGTTATTTTCCTGAACAACTATGATCTTTTTACTTCCAGTTTGTTGAATTCTTGATTTAGTGGAGCCAAGAAAACTTTTATTGTAATGTAAACTTAAAAGTTATGTCAAAAATAAATTACACTAGGAAGAACTCTATGAAGCAGTACTCTGAAAGTTTGTTGGCATTTTTTGCTCATCTTCACAGTATGAAAATGAAAAGAATAAATACAAGAGAGAAAATCATGAGTTATTCCAAATAATTCTTAATTGTTGAAAACTACCAGGCTGACTGCCAAAAACTCACTGATTTCATGATATTATATAATACTAAGTCACATATAAATAACACAAGATGTACCTCTAGGGGTCAGTGTTGTGGATAGTGGGTAAAGTGCTAGAATCACATATGGGCCAGAGTTCATATTTTAGCTCTCTGCTAATGACCTAGGAAAAGCAGTGGAAGATGGCCCAAGTGCTTGGGCTCCTGCAACCCTCATGGAGAGACATGGATGAAGCTCCTGGCTTCTGGCTTCAGACTGCCCCAGCCCTGGCCATTGGGACCACCTGGGCAGTAAATCAGCAGATGGAAGATCTCTGTCCCCCCACCCCCCATAATTCTTACTTTAAAATGAATGTATCAATCTTTTTTTTAAATGTACTTCAAAATGTCTGTGGACAAATTAAAAGATGTTTATTTAAAGTACAAAATTTGAAATCCATGCAGTCTTTGCATAATGACTCTTTTCCCAGGAGCTTTTGGAAGATGCCTCCTATTCTTCAAACAATGAAGTATAACTAAAAATGTTGAAAGTTTTACTCATGAGAAGTACATAATTTTTATAATCTGAATAAAGTTTCATTACTCCCATACCATTTAATGAACATTACAAACCTAAGAGAACAGTTTCTCACTGAAATTTAGCTTTTTGGCAATCAAAGGCAGTCCTCTGCAGAGAAAAATGAAATTGTAAGAGTCCGAAAAGACATGGCTGTTGCTATAATGCCCTGTGAACCTTTTTTTAAAAAAAAGTAAGTTCCTTGATAGAAATAGAACATTAAAGTGAAAGTGTGAGGTGTCAAGCCTAAACAGATTAGAAATGCTATTGGGTGTAAGAATTAAGGTTCAATTAAGCTTATGGTGAAAGTTGTGGGCACTTCAATACATGGTTCCTGAACAGTGATGTAACAGTACAATGTCAATATTCAGATTCCACTCTGGAAAATTCAAGTTCATTCAAACCCAGAAGTTAGACTGCTCTACCAATGGTTCTTAGACAGCAGAAAAGCATGCTGCTTTAGCTGACCAGATTCACACTAATAACAATAGTAAAATAAATGAAATCTGTGATATATGTGCAGGTAACTTTAATGGGTGACGACTGTGGAACTCCACTCTGTTTTATTTTCCCTCCCTCACCACCACTTGAAAAATAATTTTCCTTCAAAAGCATGTCAGTAAATCTGCAAGTTTTAAAATAGAAATAACGTGCCTAAAGGAATCACCAAATTCTTTTTTATGATGTACAGTCCTATGTTTTAAAATATGCATATTTATGATTAAGAAAAAACAGAAAGAAGTCAAAAGAATCCAGCCCAAATTTTCACATGGCTCAATATAATGTGGGATTGTTTTTATTAAATGTGGCTATCTGATGAAATGGGTCTTGTGATCTCTGGTAGAAAGGACTAACAAATGACAAATGGTGTACAAAATTTCATTTGATGAGAGAAACAAAATGTTTTAAAGTCTATGAGCTTTAAGGACTAACAAATATCACGTACTTTGTATTTTAGGCTTTGTCCTTCATATTTGTTTAAAATGGGTTTATGAAGAGTGCTAAAAGGGAATATTCCTTTTAAAATTTTTTTTTAAATTCTCTTAAAACTACTCATAAAATTCCTGTATCTGTTAATAAAAAAATACTGAGACTATATGACGATGATCCTACTGTAGATTATATCAAATCTACATAACATGTTCTATTTTCTAGAACAGCCTGAGGCTACAGAGACACCCATAGCAAGAAAGCTTCATCTCTAGGTAATCACACACCCTCCAATAACAAGACATTACATTTCAAATCTGCCCTCGTATTTCCGCTCTCTCAACAAGTTTTTCAAGGACAAGAGGTTTAAAGATTCCCCTCTGGTCAATAACAGTCTCTAAAAATAACTTTCCCTTTTCAAGGAAAGGATGTTTGCAACACAAAACATATTCTACATTAAGCCTTGGTGAGATTCAAAACACACAAAGAACTTCACGACAGAGTCCCAAGAGAGAAGTCATTTTTTAAAGGCTTATTTTTTTGAATGTCAGAATCACAGAAGGGGAGAGTGAGAAGGAAAGAGAGAGATAGGGAGGGAGGGTGGTAGGGAGGGAGAGAGAGAGAGAGGGAGAGAAAGAGAGAGAAAAAGAGAGAGCCTCCATCTGTGGATTCACCCCCCAAATGGCAGCTACAGCCAGGGCTGGGCCAGGCAGAAGCCAGGAGCCAGGAGCCTCATGGGGTCACCCACATTGGTGCAGAGGTCTAAGCACTGGGCCATCTCCACCTGCTTTCCCAGCACATTAGCAGGGAGCTGGATTGGACATGGAGCAGCCAGGCCTTCAACTGGCGCCCATTTTTGAAGTCTGAACTAAAATCCCTAAGAACGAGACATCAAAAGTGCCAACCCACTCCAAACTATGAGAGCAACGAGTTAATAAAATACTACCATGGAACTAAAACAAAAAACCAGGTGAAACGAATTGTGTGTTGCCAGCCTGTAGAAACCAAAGGCTAACTAGCATCGAGCCTATGTAGTTGAATAAATTCTTATTTTAACCACACACGATTTTGAATTCCTCTGGTGTTTTGTGAAGATACACAACGAAGAGAGTTCTCTAAGTGCAGGACCCCGAAAATGAAAACCAGACAAGTGTAATACGCACCTGCCTACACATTCACAGTGATTTAAAACCATGCACGATGGCTCAAAGGGCATAGTGGGAGCCCATGCCAGATCAACCTATGCCTGCCCCACTTCAACCAGGGGCGCCCGTGGGCGCAGTGTGGGGGGCCACCACGCAGCGTCTGTACCTCCCCTCGCTGACACTCACCATTTCCGTGGGCTCCAAAGACAGGTGGTCCCACGACGAGGGGCAGGCGAGGTCGCACCCTGGGCTGAGGAGGTTCCTCGAGAGGTCACCTACAAATGGGCCCAGCGCTCCCACCTTCACAGCCCCGGGATCACAACACCGACCACCTGCGCTGGAACACAGCCCCGCCTTATGCCCTGGCAAGCACTGACATCCTGACGTCACAAAGGGTGGTGCCACGGGCCCCCGCCCCGGGGCCTCGCCCCTCAGCCCGAAGCTCCACCCCCTTCGTCCCACCTAACCTCATTCTCATCTTGACACCTGGCTGGGCTCTTGACACCTGGCAACCCCAGCTCGCACCCCCAATTCGATGAGATCACAAAGCATAATTTTTCACATTCATAAAGTGCAATTGATTAATCTTTGGCAGAGGTCTCGCCTTTGATGTGGCGCTGAAAACAAACTATGATACCCAAGATCACTTAGCCGGTGCACATTTTACCTTCTGCATTTAGATCCCGTGAGCACCTTGATTTCAAGTTTCTCAAAAGGCAACTTTTGTTTCTAAACTCGCTTTTCATTTTATTTCATCGTGGCTTCACACGGTGGCTTCTGCACTTCTGCTTGCTGACACCGACTTTTCCGAGGGCACAGGACACAGGTGGTCCCCCCGTCAGAGGCTGCCTACAGCCCAAATGGAACTGAGGGGTGACTACGACTCAGCCGGCCTCTCTGTCTTGCCTTCGCGGCTCAAGGACCCGCTGGGCTGGCCACCAGCACTGAAACACTCCCCCAACTTACACCCTGCACATAATCATGCCGCAGAGAGCCAGGGCAAGGGACCATGCCCAGGGCCCAAGCCCCTTCACCCTGTCTCCCCACCACCACCACAGCTGCCCTGGGGTTGCTGATCCCTACAGTAAACTACTGATAAAGCATTTCCACTTTCAGCATGTGGCTCTTTTTCATCAAGGAAATTGATCCATCTGTCCATAAACTATGCTTCACATAATTTTTTAAGAGGCCATAGACAGGGGCTGGTGCTGTAGGACAGCAGATAAAGCATCTGCCTGCAGTGTGGGCATCCCATATGGGCACTGGTTCGAGTCCTGGCTGCTTCACTTCAATTCCAGCTCTCTGCTGTGGCCTGGGAAAGCAGTAGAAGACGGCCCAAGTCCTTGGGTTCCTGCACCCATGTGGGAGACCCGGAAGAAACTCCTGATTCCTGGCTTCAGATCAGTGCAGCTCTGGCTGTTGCAACCATCTGGGGAGTGAATCAGTGGATGGAAGACCTCTCTCTCTCTCTCTCTCTCTCATTCTCTCTCTCTGTAACGCTTTCAAATAAATAAAATAAGTCTTTAGAAAAAACAAGAGTCCATAGACATTTTTCACTTTCAGACTAAATAAATTGGTGTATATGGGTCTTTTTATTGTTGTTTGGTATTTTTCATAAATATTTATTTATTTATTTGAAAGTCACAGTTACACAGAGAGAGGAGAGCCAGAGAGAGCAAGATCTTTCATCCACTAGTTCACTCCCCAGATGGCTGCAATGGCCGGAGCTGCACCAATTCAAAGCCAGGAGCCAGGAGCTTCTTCCAGGTTCCCATGCGGTTGTATTTTCAAATTTTTAGCATCATCTACTATTCTGACAGACATCATTGTGGTTTATTGGTACTGTGGCCATTGTCTGTGTTTGGATGTATTACCATTGTTACAGTGATGTCAAAATTACATAATTTTACATTGATATAAGTAAATCTTTCCTCATAGACAAATAGTGCTTGCCTATGCTTTCTGGATTTTTTTTTTTTACTAATATTTTGGAAACAATGTTAAAGTCCCAAGTTCTAGTACAAAGAATGTCTCCCCCTGAGCCATTTGAGAATAAACTGGTGATGACATTAGGCCATCAGTACATATGACTTTAGGGTGACTTTCCTACAAGTGACAACATTCTACATACCTATGACACAAACTGCAAAATGAGAAAGGAGCCCCCGATGCAGTCTGTTAATCCTCAGGTTAATTTCTAGTTTTGCTACCTCACTGTAATGCCTTTTATGACAAAAGGTCCCCACTCAAATCCATGGATTAATTTTACTTGTCACACTTCTTAGCATCCTACACTCGGAACCGCTTGACAGTCTTTCCTTTAGCTACACGAGTGTGCCTTATTTAAAGAGTAAAGTCTAGTCGTGTAGAAGCTCCGTCAATAGGATTTTTTTCAAACTTCCTTACTATGATGTTCAGACCATGGTTTCTGGTAAGAGAAAGAAGAGTTAAGAGTGGGGAATTGTCGAGCAGACAGGCAATGTGGAGGGCTTCGCCAGGAATGTAAAGTGCTTCATCAACCCTAATTTTTGATAATCGTGCCCTCTAGTGGTTTTTTTGTGTCATTGCAATCACTGCTGCATCAAGAAAGAAGACATTTGGGCCGGCGCTGCGGCTCACTAGGCTAATCCTCCGCCTTGCGGCGCCGGCACACGGGGTTCTAGTCCCGGTCGGGGCGCCAGATTCTGTCCCGGTTGCCCCTCTTCCAGGCCAGCTCTCTGCTGTGGCCAGGGAGTGCAGTGGAGGATGGCCCAAGTGCTTGGGCCCTGCACCCCATGGGAGACCAGGAAAAGCACCTGGCTCCTGCCATCGGATCAGCGTGGTGCGCCGTCTGTAGCGCGCCGGCCGCGGCAGCCATTGGAGGGTGAACCAACGGCAAAGGAAGACCTTTCTCTCTGTCTCTCTCTCTCACTGTCCACTCTGCCTGTCAGAAAGAAAGAAAGACAGACAGACAGACAGACATTTGGCTCCAGGTCCTGCTTTTAAAATCTCAAGTTCCTAGCCTTTTAAGCCTTGATAATCACAAATTAAAAGGCTGAACATTTAATGAATTTCAAGAAGTGGTATTTTCTAGCTATTAAGAGAGAGAGAGAGTGCATATGATTTATTTTCTATTATTTGAGCAAGTTGCTGTTCGCTCTTCAGGAGGCAGAGAAGCACACGACAAGGGCAAACAGCACCACCTGGTGGCTGCGTGGACTGCACACACTGGCACACTGCAGCCAGCTCAGCATCACCAGCCCTCCTCACCTGCTCATCAATCCACGCCCTCCCTCCTTGCCTTCCCTTTCTCCCTTCTTTCCTCCCTCCTCCCCTCCCCTCCTTTCCCCTCCTCTCTGCTCCCCTCCCCTCCCCTCTCCTCTATTGTCCTCTCCTCTCCTCTCTCCCTTTCTTCTGTTCTGTTTTTTACTCATTGTCTTACCCGCATCCCCCCCCCCACACACATAATATAAACTGCTTATTCATTATTGTTCATCCATGGTCCCCAGATGTCTAGAACAGTGCCTGGTTAACAGCAGGTGCTCAGTGGGCATGCACTGCTATGATTCGGGGTTTTCTGGTACTGTAGCTGAAAAACATCCTCACCAGCATTCTGCTCCCCACCCTCTGAGGAGAATGAGCAGTTCATTTTCCTCTTTAGCAGTGAATTTGCCTCTTCCATGTGTGAAGAAGAGCAAATCTTTGTGAGCTGACCAGCCTATGAGTGGAGACCTGGAGACTTCAACCATGCCACAGCGCAATGTTTCAGACCATCTTGGATGAAAATCTCCTATGTTTGGCTTAACTAGCATTGGATACCACTTTATTCCTCTTTCCACCAAAACAGAACACAGCACAATTGAGGATGCCACCTTTCCCGACAGATCTTCCTATGCCTGGCGCTCTGGCTCCTGTCCATGAACTAGCTCCACTGAGCCTGGTGAGAGCCCATGATGAAATGCTGTGTGCACTGATACCCAAAGCTGCCTAGAAAACACTCAGTGCTCTGAGATTCACGGGCCCTTGGGATGATTGTTCAAAAAGCCCATTCTCTCTGCTTCCTTGGTCACACAGATGAAGTGGGTCACTTTGTGGGTAGAATTCTGATTGTCTTTCTCCTTGCTTCCAAACATTAGCTGAATTTTGTCAGCTTAGTCAGGTGTATGTGTGCAAAGACTTCACCTACCCCTCTGGTTTTCAAGAAGAAAGAGAAACAAATATGAAGACACATCTAGGTGAGAGAAGACGCATAGCAGCCAAGGGGATATTTTGAAGTGGATCTAGGGAGCAGAGCAGTGAGAACCCGCGGCCTTGCAACTACTGCAGAGTACTGTTGACTGCTCCTCCTTCTCCAGTGGAGCCTGGTTTTCCCAGCCCTTGCCCCTGTCTCATCCACAGGGCACCCAGGCTTTTGGAGCTTCTTTTCTGGCCTTCCTCCTCCAGTTCTTAGGAATTGGTTCTACTTCCTCCCAACATGACATTAAGAGACCTCTAAAACATCTCCAGACTTTTCAAAATCAAAGAAACAAACATACAATGTCATATGTAATCTATAGGCTGAAGCCAGACGATGTGACAGGTGAAATCCGAAGGCAGTCAGTACCTCTGGCTGCAGATAGAGTCCAGTAAATGCTGTAATAATACCCTATTATCCAAACATATTGCACATTATTTATTCATTCACGTAATGATATCCTAATGTTTCCAAGGACAGATAGTTGTGAAAAAAAGCTGCTGTAAGCATCCATGTACAGGTTTTGTGTAGGCATAAGTTTTGCAGGCTGTGGCTTTTCATCTTTCATTCTCAGTATCCAAGGACAGTGGCTGGTAAAATTTGACTCAAACAGTACAGTCTAGTTTGTGCTGTGTCTCCTCACCAAGGCAACCATGCCAAAATGTTAGCAAAGTCAATAGAAAGGTTGAAAGAACCAGGGAGGAAGTATTTAATCATATTATCCTGAGTTTATTGTACTTGCAAATGATTGGACTAAAAGTATCCAGTTTGTACAAACTAAATGCAGTCACAAACTTTCCTGTGATGACATGAGACCTTTAACATGCCATGTTGCTTGTAACCATAAATGACTCAGGCTGTAATTACGCAAGATTTAGTGAGCGAATGAACTGCCTCAGCATTTTTATCCACAGGAGGACAACCGAACCACAAGGTGGTGTCCAAGATATTTTAATATTCAGACACTGGTAACAAGTTAGCACTGAAAACTTGGAGCTGGTAGATGAAGAGAATCAAAGCCCACAGATACCTAGAGAAAAAAATCCAGTGCATGTTTCAAAGACTTGTATACATTCTTTAAAAACAATCTTTTCATGGTCATTATTCAAGTTTACATTTATTTTTGTTAGAGAGA